TATGTTTTTAAAAAATCAAAAAACATATTTTAGAAAATTAAAACCTGTTTTGTCCCTAATCTCAGGAATCACTGAGTAATGAAATCAGTTAAAATGCTGCTCTCTCATCACTGGTTGTTCAAAAGAACAGAATGCTGTGCGTTTTGTTTTTCTCAGGCTTGCATGTTTCCTTTGGTTTTGAGCCAGCTGGTTGCTGGAGAAAGCTATCAACTTAGAAGCCTTTCAGTGGACCGATAACACAGGAACTTGTCAGAAGAAGTTTCAGATGAAATTGAATATGACACTGAAGATTGTTATCAAATAATTCCTGGTTATCAAACTTAATCATCTTGTCATTTAAGGACTTTTTGCACGGTGCAACACTTCTCACAATGTCCTTGACAGACTCAGTGGCTGAATAAGAAATAACAGCTAAAAAAACAGCAAAAGGACAAAGTGAACACGAGTCACATGGTGTTACAGTGCCAACAGTATAACAATCTGTCTGTCAAGAGTATAGTTGTAGCATCTCTGACATGTTTTTAAACATGTCTGAGAGCAACAGAGACACACCACATTCATCTTCAGTAGAGAGCCTGTTCACATAGAATTGCTACAAATGTTCACCAATATTTGGAACCGCTCAGTCGAGTTTCACTTTGAATCATATCTTCTAAACAGGAAGTTTCTAATTTTGCAGCTTGAGCTCATATCAACTCAAAGTGTTAAAATCCTGAATAAGTCTTATAATAATTCATGAATAATTCAAATTGAATACTGATTCGATCCACTATGAGTTTAAAGAATTGCTAGCTTTAACTGTTCTGTTTTCCAGATGCTGTGGAAATAACTATGGAAGAGATCTGAGAAGATCTGTAAACAGATCTGTAAAGCCTTTATAAAGTTTATAAGTTATCTTCTCACCCTAGTTCTTCTTTCTGTCACTTAACTTGGAGTATACCTATTTAGAACCTTAGCATATCCTAAAGCAAGGAAGTTAAAATTGTTAGTAATGAAAGTGTTTGCTTACCTCACAAAAGTGTGTGTGCTGGCCGCTGGAGTGTAATCAGCTCGAAGCTGCCGGTATGGTTGTTTCTCTCTCTCTCACTCTCTCTCTATCTCATGCACACATGCTTCGTCACCAGCCTGTTTCCCGTCTCTCATGTTGGACCCGCCCGGGGTCCATGCTTACATAACAGTCACAACAACAGCAGTGCGACTGTTACTTCAACAGGCAGACTTGAAAAGCTACACATTCACCTGAACAAAACAACCACATGTTAATGCTGACGGGGTGTAGATGTAACATAGAAATCTATATCACTAAAAGCCACTCGGTAGATCAAAATTAGAAATGAACACCCATGTTTAGGCACATTTTCTTGTTTATGTTATTTAAATGTGTTTCAGCCATAAGAGAATTTGCTACAAATCTTTAAGCTAAAGATAAGCAGAAGAGAATGGATGGATGACAGATGTTCATATCATTTATGTACATTTTCAGCAGTGTACCTGTGTAATATATCTGTATTGTGCTGCACAGAGAGCTTGTTTATACAGATCTGAACAGACGTGCCTGATGATCCTCCTTATGACTTTATAATTAAGGTAATCTGAGCCTGTGACATTTCATATTAAAACGGGCAAGATCGGTAAGTTAGATTCTGACTTAGTAATGTTAGGGTCACATGCTTGAGCCCCCATTTGGTGGATTGTCTTGTAATGCCTGCTTGCAATAGTTTTATTATTAGTTCAGGTATAGCAGATAAAGTGGCACTGAAATGTGAGCTTGGTGTTCTCTAATATACAGTTTCTACTATTTCTTGTAGGTGAAAAATTACATGTGAAGTTCATTATCACATCAGAGACACTTTTCACACTGTGATCCAGCATGACAGAATTAATTTTACAACAGGATCACAAGCCCATACACGCACCTTAAAATGAGACCCGCTCAAACACCAAGGAATGCTCAGCCTATCCCACTCTGGGAATTATAATCACATTTTTCCATGACTGGAAACTACGCCGAATGGGCAAATATGCCCTTTCAAGTAAGCACTGCATGTGGGTGTTTCCAGTTAGGGGATTCCCTGAACAGATGTGACTTTCACCACTTCCAGTCAATAAACCCTCCCCACTGATCAAAGTTCTGGCCTGGAGTACACTGAAAAAAGGGGACTGGCCATCTCTTGGATTTATGTAAGCATCTTGCATGTATTTAACACAATTGCCTCATGTTTTAAAGTTAAATGTAACTATATAGTGTAAAAACTACATGATATGCAGAAAGGGTGTATTAAATTGTTCATATCATGTTCAGGTGAAGTAAGTTAATACGATAGCAACGTTAAATCTCGTGAAACCACGCGTGATTTCATCTCGCGGGCTTTGGATCGTGGTTTAAAAAAGGCATCCATCTCAGTCAAGTCGAGCAGCCAACTCTATGTTTTTTGGTATGTCTTGATTTTTTGAATTAATATTTATTTAAATGTAGTTAAACGTCTAGAGTGTCATCATGTAATATGCTAAAAAAGAGCCGTTAGCTTATTTGCTGTTTTATCTGTTGTCAAAGAATCGGCGCTTTTTCATCTGAATTTGTCTTTGGCACAAGAGCCGTAATATCACATTAAACCTAATTACAAGGCGCTCATAACATAATCTGGTTTTCTGTGTGAATAGATTTGACAACTGACTCTTCAGTTACATTGTGTATTTACTGCACCGAGGTGTTAGTGAGATTTTGGACATTGAACAGCTTTAGCTAATATCATCAGCGGCATTATGCTAGCTTACATCCCTACACCTCCTGCCCTCACCTGCTGTCCTTTTGTTTTTGTTTGTTTGTTTTTTTGCTGCACATTGAGAGATGACCTCTATTCTGCATTTCACCAGGAGTCAGCTGATGGATTGTGGGTTCAAGGTGTTATGGTGAGAAAGTATATTCTATTTTCGCTTAAGGTTTCTGTAACTTAATTATAATAGGTTTTTATAGTTATTAGGTGTATGCATACTCAAATAGACCACCCTATTAATACAACTGAGAAATCCAAAATCTGCCGTATAGGTTTAACTTATACCTGTATGTATTGTCAGAAAGGTGATTACTGGACTCACACTTGAACTAAAATGAGGTTTTAACTTGTGGGTTGTTGGGTTGCAAATCAGAAACAAACATCTTTGGATTTTTTTTTATCCCATAAGATCTGGAAACAGTTTTTATTCAACAAAACATTACTGATTAACCAAGCACAGTGCCTGCTGTTATTTCAAAATTATTTTATGTCATTTCAGATAAAATGAAGCATTCCAGTGCATCCCAACCATGCCTTTACAGTCAAGGTTTCTGACGGAGCTGAGTTTCTCTCTGACAGTCTGCTGAAAGTGTTTGCAAAGTGATCGGGGGAACAGGGCACAAAGCTAAAGGATGTAGCTGCCATGATGACAGTAATAACTTTAAAATTCTTTAACTACAAAGTGTATATGTATTGCATTAGGTCAGTAAAAGATTTTTATGCTGCATCCATTGGTAGTATATACACTGGCTGGGTTGTTATCAGGAAAATGATATTTGCGGATTAATTTACAGTGAATTAAAAATGAATTGTTGGTCAGAAAAACTAAATCTGAAAATAATAACATTTGCAGCGTCAAAAGCACAGAAATCATAAAAAACCTTTTTTGATTTTAATTCTTACATAGCATTATTTATCAAGAACAGCTACAGATAGAACATTACTCCAGATGTTCTATCAGCTCCAGATATTCTATCAGTCAGTCAGTAGCTGACATCATATATTTTAATTCTCATATAATATTGCAGATGAGCTACAGTGGGGCAAAAAAGTATTTAGTCAACCACCGATTGTGCAAGTTCCCCCACTTAAAATGATGACAGAGGTCAGTAATTTGCACCAGAGGTACACTTCAACTGTGAGAGACAG